AATTTTGTTGTTCCTCTCACTTACTGTGTACTTATTATGGATGTAGTAAGAGCTACATGAATCATGAACAAGTACCTGTGAATTTTTAAAGTTGTAAAGTAGATAAGACGGCCTGATTTTATATGCTTGTGCATGTATGTGTGCTACATGTGCTCTGTTGTAGGGTGAAGAAAAAAAAAATCAGTGTCAGAAAATGTCAGGAAAAGATGTCATGTAAGAACTCCCTCTTCTGTAGAAACTCCCAGCATATAAAATGTGCTGTAGCACTACCCATTGTGACCCAGAAATAAAATGTTTCCTATGAATTAGAAGGGGACAGAGTTGGATTAACTGGATGACATTTCCCCATCTGTTTTTTATTTATTGTTGCCCTTTTCCCTTCACTGTAATTAGTGCATAGAGGTAACAATAGGCATATACTGCACTCTGAGCTACAAGGATGTACCAACATTTTGAGCACTTTCCATTATTTTTTTTCCCAGTGACACTTCTAAAACTCCTAGCATCTTAACTCTGCTGAAACCTATTATTTCTGTGAACTGAAGAGGCAATTTAAGGCACCTTTTCTGTTTGCAAACAATTTTCAAATATAACCTCACTATTTCTGAACTTTTCCCAAGGGCCTCATAAAATTGATAATTGTCCACTTTCCTCTAAGTGACTTGAAAAATTGAAGGTCTTACAATTTGAAATTCTGATCTGGATTTCATGGTACCCACCACCAACACTACTGCTCAGAGGTGCTTAGGTGCTCAAAGCCAGAATCCCTCTCTTTGCAGAGAGGGAAGCTGTTTGGAAATGATAACCCTGGGCTTCAGAGAACTCAGTTCTCCTTTGGACTTACTTCTGTCTTTCATTTAGAGGTACTGATGCGCATAAATATTGAAGGTGACAGCTTGGTAGTAAATAAGATAGTTGAGATGGCAGACGGGCCATGCAGACACTCAGCTGGTGGCACTGCAAGGGCTGGGTCAAGGTAGCAGTAACTAGAGGTACTAGTAAGGTTATTCTGAGGATGAAAAAGGAAATAAAAATCTTCAGAGCAAAAACTCTGAGCCTGAAGCTGTTTATCCTTGAGAAAGGATCCAGTAAGAAAAACCACTAGAACCCAGGGCAAACTTTATATGCAACAAGAAGGCGATGAATGTGATATCATCTCCACAAAAACATAAGAGCCTGAGTAG